CGTGGCCGACGCCCTGGACGCATGCCCCACCTTCCAATTGTTCCTCAACTTCTTATCCATCTTCAACAAGGCAAAAGACTCCAGCCCCTGTCGTTGTGGTTGGTGCGTTTCTTAATACCTCACCTTTCCTATTCACAGGCCACTACAGTGCAACTCGTGGCCGACGCCTTGGACCAATGCCCCGACTTCAAATTATTCCTCGCTCTCAGGGACCGACTCCGAAACAGAAACGACCATACCTGACCGCATGCTCGCTACAGACCTACGTTCCACCTGACTGCTTCTTTTTTTGCTCTTTAACAGTGCTGCGTGTGTTACTCGCCTCTTCCCGCTCATCCGCTCCAACGACACCTCCCGACCGAAACACTTTACTCCGACTCCAACATGACCTCCTGCTGTGCCCAACCCATACACACCGAGTGCCTCATGCAGTGGATCCTCAGCACGGGCTTCAACTACACCTGTCCTTACTGTCGTGCCCCTCACGCCCTGCCCCAATGGCCCGGTTCCTTGTTCGTCAACTACCTCGAAAGTCACTTCTCTCAAGTGTATAACGGCGACCCCGTCTGGGAAATGGCCCAACCCACCATGGCCCGCATCATGCTTCTCTTCTTGCGTCACGTCCACGACCTCATCCACATCCGACCCATTGCCCACGTCAATTTCCACAACACCATCAAGCCTCCACCGTGCCTGCTCTGCCGCAAGCCCATCCCTTATTCGGGTCAAGAAGGGACCATCGACTACACGGGCCAATACCACGTCTTCAACTGCCGCCAATTCGCTCTTCGAGGGTACATGCCTCCGGCACCTCGTCACGTCCCCGTCCAAGCCTGTCATTCCCTCTGTCTCGTTCGCTACATGGATCAACACCGTCATCACTATCCCATGCCGTGTCCTTGTTCCTCCCTCCCTGGACCTCCACACCAAATCTGCGTCACTCGCTTAGACACCTTATTTAAAACGTTCATTCGTCATACCAAAGACGCCGCGGCCGTCCAATGGGCCAGTCGCTTGTGCATCCAAGAATTTCAAACCAACACCTTCCACGTCATCCTCCTCCACAAACAACGACTCCATCTCGTCCGACTTCACCAACGAATTCATCCGCCCCACACTCCTCTCAACCACGTCAAGTTCTCCCTCGACTACCAGTCTCACATGCGTCGCTACCTGACCTCGCTCGACCTCAGTCCTCTCCCTGGCCTAGCTCGTTACGTCCTCCGCTACAAACGCTGCGATGCATGTCTCGCTTACCTTCCTGAATGGTTCCCCCAATGCAGAAACTGTACCACACCTTTCCAAACCCTTCGCAATGGCAAACGCGTCCGACGACACGACCTATCTGATTAAAAAACATTTTGTTCCGTCCGTTAAATTCATGTACTGCTTTTTCTTTTTCATTGGCCAATAAAAACCTTTCAACACACCCATGACTTGAGTTTTTTCTCCCCTCACTTGCATGCGCGTCCTGGGTAGCTCAACCTGTCCATCGCGGTTCGGCTGTGGTAGCACTATGCGATTGTGGTACTAGTCGGGTAAGTAACAACGCGGCGCTCACTGCGGTTCGAGCCTCCAGAACGCCATAACTTTTTCTTTCACAAGAAAAAAGCTTATATGCTAATTACTTCCTGCTTCCTACCCTAGACTACCTTAACTTCACCCTTCTATTTCATAGCAGCCCCGGTGGTCTAATGGTATGATACTGGCCTAGCTGGCTGGAGATCGAGGTTCGACTCCTCGCAGGGGAGCTTTTCTTTTTTTTCCTTACTTTTTTTTTTTTCCTTTCTTACTTCCTTAGGCTCAATCATCAGCTAGCCTCATCCAAGCTTACGCTCAATTCAAGGCTCAAGTTAAGTCCTCCAAAGAAGCCAAGCCTGCCCCCACCGTCGACGACCAAGTCACGGCCAGTCTCACTCGAGTTCGTGGAAACGACCTCCACAAAGCAGGACCCAGACCCACCCTCGAAGAAGAGGAAAACGCCAAGTGGTTCGTCCATCCTGAAACCCACAAGAAATACCTCATCCACAGCCCCGATACTCCCAAGGAAATAGCCAACGACCTTGCTCGAGGCATTGGCAAAGTCCTCGCCACCAATCATGGCATGTTACGACGCATAGGCTTTCTCCCCGCCTGGAATACCTATACCTTTGCCATGGTCAATCCTCCCCAAGGACCCCACATCCACTCTGGTGATCCCAGCCTCATCGAAGCGTACGCCCAATGGAAGATCAAAGTTTCCAACGATGCCCTCCGCACGTACGAGCAAAAGGAAGAAAAGCGCAAAGTAGAAGAGCGCAGGGAACAGCGCAAGAAATTCATCAAAGAAAGTCGTGACCGATGGATGACCTCTAAGGGTCATACCTGTGTTTGTTCCTGTGACACCTGTACTTGTAAATGTCATGAATACCCCTCCTATTAAAAACCGTTAACCTCAAACCAACGTCTTGACTACCTTTTTAAACACCTCCCCTAAGTAAGTGCTCGTGGTAGCTCAACGTGTAGAGCGTCGGACTATAGTTCCGAAGGTTGCTGGTTCAAACCCAGCTCGCGGGACCTTATACTTTTTCAAAGAAAACAAAAAAAAGAAAAATCAAAATTCCCACTTACGTCACCCGTTACGTCACCCGTTCCGTCACCCGTTACGTCACCCGTTCCCGCCTCCCATTGGGCGATCCATCGCCCCCATTCGTTTCCGTTTCCGGTGATTTGCTATGGCAACAGGAATATATGAATATCTCACTCATGAATAAATTAACCTGACCCTATACATAGGCATATGTTACTACT